GAAGTCCATTTTGTGTAGTTGTTTACTACTTCCTATCATCTTGTTCGACAACGTTTTTAAAAAATTCTTACATAATCATATCTTTTAATTGATGTGTGCATAAATTCAAGAGCAATTATTATTCAAAGAAACAAATAGTAAATGTATATAAAGCACGAAAACATTTGAAATTCTTTAAAAATTGTAAACCAGCGATATCGCGAACCAACGACAACAGACTGTACGCTACGTTGTTGTGAAAAACATTTTGCCCGCATGACAGTTTTCGTTCCTTCACAGTGTATAAAGATGGGAAAGCAATTATCAACGTTCCTTATAAAACTTTTTGACAAAATAAGAATGGGGTGCTCAGTTTATTTCTTAATTGTTCATCATTCATTTGTAAACCGAGCAAAGCACTTTGAAAAAGTCTTTTAATTACTTTCATTAGAACAGCCAGATGTAAAAATAAGCAGTTATGCATCCACATAATAATATTCGTACTGTATTATATTAACTATTTATCAGACTATATATAAACTGTATTGTCGTCATTATGTTTTCTATTAATTGCACTGACATCTGGTATTTGTTAAATTCCGCTCGATGAGAAATCGAAAGTTTATTATGATGAAGTATAAACAACGTTTATAACAATTAAAAGAGAAAATGAATAGACATATTGAGAGAGGTATTTAGGAGTGTGGTGAAATAATTGATCATGATTATGCATCTACAATGAATTGGAATGAATAATAGATGACGTCGCTGGCTTTGCAGAAAAAAAATTTTTTTTAATATTACAGATTGTGAAGTTTTTATTGAATTTACCAATGATGAAAGTTATCAACCTCTAGCAAAGTTGACTGACCTGAAAACAAAAAACAGACTCACATACCCAAAGTCATTTCTTATTTTACTACTTACTCAAATTGAACAATAATTATTTGTCAGCATGCTTGGTGATAACATTCTGGATGACATTGCAAAAAAACTGTCGCATAAAAATGTCACTTTTTCCATTTGAAACATCAAAATGAAACGATAAAATATTTTGTACATCTAAAGTCAAGGGAATTTGCCAGACACATGACAGTACATTACAAGGAGTTTAAAACAGAAATGAAAATAATTCAAATTTTTTTTACATAAAACACTTTTTTGACATTATGTATATACAATGTATATTATTAAGTTTATATTGTTCGAATAACCCACTATTAACAATTATGCTGTAATAAAATTTATCATAGAAAAAAATTACATGCCAAACCCAAAACTGCTGTCACGTGAATACAAAATAAACTATTCGTAAAGAACACTTCAGAATAACAGACACCTTTATAACGCGCATTTTAAATTACGCCGCAGAACTTCTACAGGACGAATGTAAAAACCTCTGCTTTCATTGTTCTGTGATGATTTTAGTTTTCGCTATACATTTATCTCTTAATTAAACGATAATTACACTCCAAAACATATTAGTATACTGTATAAACATTTTTTACTTTCCAATACTTTTCATAAGAGATGCAACGAAATGTGCTAAAAGTTTTTTTTTTTTTTTTTAAATTCAATAATATATATCATTTTTGCAAAATATTTTATTTCGGATCAGCATTATTTGCATCATCTATCAGTAGCTTACATTTTTAAATATATTTTCGTATATTTTGTAGTAAATTACATAATTAAATAATTACATAATGATAAAAATTGAAATAAAATGAAAGTTGGTTTATTAGTCGATATTTGCTGCGTAATTAATAGGGACTCTCTCTTGTAAATACGAATTAATGCGTCTAGATAAGGAAACAAATCACATGGCGTTTTTAAAAACATACAAGCTATGTTATTAGTTTACTCATACAACTGTATAAGAACCATTTCTCGGGTGTATAACATCATTTTCATAAACATACAAATATTTAATGTTAACCACGTGAAAAATATACATATATTTTATATAGCATTATTTTTTTCAGAAACCAAAGTCAATTTCGAATTTATTAAAAGGTTTAAGTTCTTTTCGAGTAGACTTTCGTTTCGATATTTGCATCCCGAATGATTGCAACGAAAATGATTTAAGAAGTATTTTAAATTGGTGTAAGTATTTTCATAATATCAATATATGGTAATTTAAGAACATAATTTATCAATAAGTTTATTGACCATAAAAATTCCTTGTAGTGCTCGGTAGTGAACTGTCAGCTAGAGTTGATTATTGCAAAGAGAAGAACCAGAAAGTTGTTTATTCCACTTCTCAAATAATATGTTTGTAAGTTATACATTATGATTTGAATATTTTCTCATAAATTAAAGTTAATGTGAGTACATGGCAGCCTCGCACTAAGGTGTTGATCTAACGAGTGTTGGATTAAAAGTTTTAGGTCCATGAGATATCTTTTTAAATATACTTGTCATTTATCTTTCTAAAGAAAACGCGAATGTTTCCACGTTTACATTGTTTATTACACGCTTATAATTTTTATTTATTTGAGAATTTGCAAATACACTTATCATGTCAGCACGACACTTTGCTCATATTAAATTTGCTGTAGGTGGATCGTTACGTGTTCTCTTCAGCATGTATTTCATATTATCATGATAAATTAGAAAACTTTTTCAGATTCCTATACTTCAATTCGGTCAGAAACATCGTTCCACTAAGATGCTGGGATTTTTTTTTTAGTTCTGCCTGTATTAGTCGTCATAGTGACCAGCCATAGAGTTTAAAATAGAACGATCATTCGCTATTCCATTCATTGAAAAATATTTAATGTTTCATCGCATTAGATATACTAGTAACCTTTTTAGTAGTTTTATACTAAACTCTTAATTTTGATTAGTAATGAAACAGAAATGTTCTTTTGCTTGTGACAGTTTATTCTAATATTTAATATTATTAACTCTTTACTTACTAATAAATAAATTAATAACATTTAAAAATACAATAGCATTTGTGAATTAAAAAATATATATATTATTCAAAAAAATGTCAAACGCCATACAACGTGATGAGGAAAAACAGCTTTAGAGTTAGCCTTGACAAATTTCTTTGAATTCCCTGTATGAATTCGATGCCAGACCCTATTTTTTCTGTTATTATTATCTTATAAATTTTTACTAAAAATACAAACGTATGTAAAATTTAAAAAAAATTACGTAACTTTCTGCATATGAATGCAGCATATTATAAAACAAAAATGACAACTTTGTACAACTCATAAACACTACGTAAACACGTGTTCTGTAACGTACACTTCAAAGTGGCATTAGAAACCATAAGCATAGCTTCGGTTATCATAATTTACAACCGATGATATCGGCAGAATTACAAAAACAAAAACAGAATATATCAAAGCAAATTCGAAATTTTTATATTATGAAGATATAATATATGATAAACATTATATCAAACAACAGTAGGACTGCATCAATCTGAAATTTTAAAATACAGAGTACAGAAAGTAGATTAACTTTCGTTTACATTTAAATCAATAAATAAAAATTGCACAACTTTTTCGTGGAAAGATTCTTGTGTAGTTAATGCTGCCATCATTGAAAATTTCCATTACCAGTATAGCAATTATAAGTACGTATAGCATTGAAAACAGACAATTAAATAAAATTTACATACAGTATATTCATCTGTTTTCAAATTAACTGATGTACTTTCATACGTAAGTCAAACTCACGTTATAAAAGTACGTCAGCTCTTGTTCTGTAATGTCATTACAAATTGTTTAAGTATACGCAAATATTACTAAAAACACTTAGACAAAAAGGAAATTGTTGAATCCATTCATAATTGAAATTCACGACAAACAAATATTCTGGATATTGCATACTGTTACGTGCTTTTAAAATTTGACTTTTAACCAGAAGCAACTCGTGCTTATCAGATAAAAATCACGGTAATTAAAAGCAATTGCCAAATAATACTGTCATTATTTAAAGATAAAGTTAATTACAGATTTTTATACAGCGAAAAGATATTGAATAACAAGAAAGTAAATAGGTATTTGATACAACAGACACGACTACTTTCAATTGTTTTTCAAGTAATATAATGATGAAGTTTTAAGTTTTCCATCCCATTTACAATTTTTACAGGTCGTTCTTCACTTTCTTTTCAAGTTGGGTTGTCCTAGCAACGATTTTCGAAACTTTTATGGAATTAGGCATTATCTCCTCAAGTGGTAAAAGAGGTCAGAGAAAAATCGTAAATATTACATACAATTTATTCATTTTATACTAGTATACTATTATTACAATTATTATACAAGTATACATATAATTTCATTTGTTAGTTTAATACAACAAACGAAATAATTTTGTTGTTGTTATCGAAACGAAATAATGTTCTTTTATACACAGTAATGTCGATGTTTAAAGCATTTCAGTAACTGCTCCAAGCCACATAAACTACGTTAGACAAATGAAATTTCAAATAAGATGATGCATTAAAAAGAACAGTGAAGAAACTCAGCATGTTTAATTAACTTACCCAAAATGCATTTACACCTTATACTAACTAAACTTGGTTTTTACTGGACTTGCTTAATTATTATTGTTGTGTTACAGTTTTAGTGATATTTTATAATCTTATTAATTAATGATGTGTATTTTATAATTTGTAATAATTATAATGTTGACAATTGTCACTAATGACTTTGCCTATTTCAAAATTGTTAAGAGCAAGCAAGAGCAATTCATTTTGTATAAGTTAATTAAATAACCTGGTTTCTTAGTAAGCCTGTTTGTTAGTGATAAGTAAATAAGTAGTCTTTATAATGAAATAACACAGGCAGGAAGGTTGTTAATATATGTAAAATTTGTTCATTCCATAAACAAATGGACTTTTTAAACTATCACCTAAAATAGAGATTGCAGAAGGTAATACATTAAAATCCAACATTAATATTTTGGAAAATATGAAAGAAATGTCTTTAATTTCATAATTATTTTAATGTTTGACCCATTTCTGAAACTACAGTATTTACAAAAAACTTTGTATCCAAAAATAAAGTTTATGATTATACCTAAAGTTTTATAAGGATTTTTCAGTTTTACAAAAATCATTGTTGAGTTTTCTTATATGAAATAAATGTAATATTTTTTCTATATTTATTAACTACAGATAATTCCTAATTATAGCTGAAAATTGTATTAAAAGGCTATTTTTAATATTTTATATTTAGATACTGCCACAAGGAATTTAATTTTCGTCTCGCTGTATCAGTCAATTCGTAAGCTACGTTCTCATTGTATAAGAGACAGAACTGCTGCATTCTGTGGAATGAAGTTTCTTTCAATCTGTATAGTAGTTTTTGGGCACAGTTTTGTAACGCTTCCTAATGAAGCAGTAGGTAAGTTTTTTGTGTTGTTTATTTTTAATTAAATTTTGAACGTTGTTAAAAAAAATTATTGCTAATATATCGGTACAAGTGCGTTTGCTCTGTAAGTACATAATGCTTTAAGTAAAATATTAACAATTATATGAAAAAGGAGCGTAATTACTGCAACGGGGTAGCTGAACTGCATTGTTTGAAAACTCACAACTGTATTGGATGTTCTCGTCATGCAGCCAACAGGATGCAAAAGGGAGAAAATTACCCTGGATACTGATGAAGTGAGAACCCTTATAACCTGTTCGCTATCATTTACCTTATGTTGTTTAGTATAATAATTTAGTTTCCTATAGTGTTGCCAACAGGTATTTTGTCCTTGTGCGTAATTTCTATCTGCTCTGTAACATGCAGATTGTATGGATAATTACACATATGACAACATGCCATTGCGAAAAGCATAATAAATTACTGCACTTTTATAATAGACATAATTTATTGAAGAAAGTTGCATAAAACACTTCGCTTTTTTTATTCAATTAACTCTATAAAATATGTTTGTATTGCATGCATATTGAGAATTTTCTGAAAATATGTACTGTAGATGTCTTTAAAGTGCAATAAGCGTTTTGGAAATAAGTAAATGAATAAATATAGAAAAGTCCTAAATTCAAATAAAAAAATAAACACTCCAAGGAGCGCAATTTTAATGTGCAGAAATAAAACTAGTAACGTTAGCTTTCATTTTAATAAATCAGATGTATCTATATTATCTATATGTATATATATATATATATAGTCGACTGTATATTCATCTGTTTTCAAATTAACTGATGTACTTTCATACGTAAGTCAAACTCACGTTATAAAAGTACGTCAGCTCTTGTTCTGTAATGTCATTACAAATTGTTTAAGTATACGCAAATATTACTAAAAACACTTAGACAAAAAGGAAATTGTTGAATCCATTCATAATTGAAATTCACGACAAACAAATATTTCGGATCTTGCATATTGTGTCTGTAGTTTAAAAATTTGACTTTTAACCAGAAACAACTCGTGGGTTATCAGATAAAAATCACGGTAATTAAAAGCAATTGTCAAATCATACTGTCATTATTTAAAGATAAAGTTAATTACAGATTATTATACAGCGAAAAGATATTGAATTACAAGTAAGTAAATAGGTACTCGATACAGCAGACACGACTACTTTAAATTGTTTTTCAAGTAATATAATGATGAAGTTTTAAGTTTTCCATCCCATTTACAATATTTTACAGGTCGTTCTTCGGTTTCTTCTCAAGTTGGGTTGTCCTGGCAACTTTTGTCGAAACTTTAATGGGATTAGGCATTATATCCTCAAGTGATAAAAGAGGTCAGAGAAAAGTCGTAAATATTACTTACAATTTATTCATTTTATACTAGTATACTATTATTACAATTATTAAGTATGCATTGTTTCATATGTTAGTTTAATACAATAAACGAAATAATGTTCTTTTATATACAGTAAGGTCGATGTTTAATGCATTTCATTAACTGCTCCAAGCAACATAGACTACGCTAGACAAATGAAATTTCAAATAAGATGTATTAAAAAGAACAGTAAAGAAACTATTGTTAAATTATNAATAGTACCATACTGGTGTCTTAGCAAATATATGTAAACAGTTTATAGCAAAATTTAAACTTTGTAAAATCATTATAAATTGTTCCATATACTGCAAGATTTTTACATCAATTTACATTTGGTATAAACATAATATTAGGCCATTTTCAGACAGACCACTGAATGGTACCACTCTTTGGCGCAACCAAGTGTTGCATCTGAAATCAACGCGAAGATAGGGCGATTGCTCCTGTTGAAATTATTTTAAAATTATTATATTGTAAAATGAAATAGATAAGTAGCCGTTACGCTTACACAAAAAAAGTCTTCAGGCAACGAAATGGTCAATGTAAATTATTCTCCGAGTCGTGATCAGACTCTTCATTGTGAAAGGCACCATTACAGCATTATTATTGACAATATCCTCCACTACAAATAATTTTATATTGCAGAATTTGATAAAACATTAATATATTGTTAGTGTAAAATTAAAACGATTTCAAGTAAGATAATTCACAATGTTTTTTTTAAACCAAATTTCAGTGGTTTTCTTCTCTCGTATTGCAAGCAGGACAGTGTGAAATCTGCAATGGATATTTTCGTCTTATTGATAAAAAGAATAATCAAGTGAGAGAATTTTAAATTTATTCCAAAATTTAATATTTATTTGTATATGTTGATAATTCGTTCAGATATAGTGAAAAGGAAGGTAAAATATTTGAAAANTTTTAAATACTGTATAAACTTTACTCAGAATCGAAACGAAAGACGGCAACGACTCATCGATTTTGATCAAACTGTCTTGAGTTTATAGTAAATCCCCAACGACTGGCATGTACTAAAGAGTAAGGCGCAGTACACAAAATGAAATGAAAACATTACAGGTGCAAATTGCACAACGTCTTAAAACTTTCATAATTCTTTCTATTTGATAAATGGTTGATGGTTTGGTTCAGATGTGCCAATTTTTTAATTTTAATGCTGGTGACTAAAATTCTGTTAATAGTGCGAGGAGCCGGGTTAATGCATGCGCCTTAACCCGTTTGCTGGCAACAGTTTGACGAAAAACGCTCACGACGTCTGTGGATGACATTTTTCTTAAGGGGCGCGTTTTCCCGGGTAACAAGATCGGCTTGTCAGGTCGAGTGGGAGGGTAAGCGGGGTCGTCGATAGAGTATGGGCTATTCCCGAGTAACTGACACTATTAAAAATCTTAATATGGATAAAATTTTAATGAAGAACTAAAATCTAAACAAAAGGTTATAGGAGTACAGGTATAATATTAAGTAATGACTTGCGAATTAAGGATAGTAAGCTTATTCTATTTACCAATATATACATATACCGAACAGCACCGCTATATAATTTTGCAAAAACATATTTCAGAGTAAAAAGACGTGTAACATTTTAAAATATAATCTTCATATTTTCAAAGCTTGTAGACTCTCTATAAAAACTTTTATCGATTTTTAGTGGTTAATACCGACTTTGTTCGAAAGTTTTTATTATCAGTTATGTGGCTTTCGTATACAATATTATTCACAATTTTTTACTTGCTGCATCAGTTGTTGACCAACAGTTTTGCTTATATAACATTGTTTGAAGAATTACATTATCTCTAGCAATATATGGAATAAATATAACTCTGTTTGATCGGCAACACATCTCATGAACGATGGACATATGCCTATAGCAATGACTTTATACGAGCTCATTTTCATGTGTTAGAAATATAAACTAAACATGAAATATTCCACGTGGCTAGCGTAACTACAGTATCCCATGTCATGACACATTAACTAGCGATCCACCAGCGTTGTGTTGTTATCCTCTTGGACATTAGTCGGCCTCGAGCAATATGTTCTAATAATTATAGTTATAACCTTATAAATTTAAATGAGCTCAATTATGTGTTCAGAAACAAATACCCTATAAACTGCAATGTTATTAATGTAATGTTATTTGATGAACATTTTTGAATTAATTTACTCAGTATACAATTTTCTATTGCAGATTAACAGTGCCAGTATTTTGTCTTGTAGCAGCGACGAATATTTTACCTCTTCTAGGAGATGGGCCTCATTGGAATGACCTGTTAAGCGATGTACATGAAATTGTACAGAATTGGCCCAAATATGTTTTTCATTACAATAATTTCATAGAACAAATTGCTCCAAATTCGATTGTAAAAATGAAAATATTATACATTATATAGCATGTTTAAATATATAATTTATTACGTATATATTATTTACATTTACAGAAACTTGAACATTTATGGTTTATAAGCGCCTTGTTTCAGCAAACCCTTGTTGCTATACCTTTACTCTACATAAACAACAGGTATGTTTTCTCGTTTTTATTTTCAATTTTAACCATTTCTATGGATCAAACACTATAAAATCTTGTAAACTGTTTATCTTGTGTTCAGACATTGGTTTCAAAACATTAATACATTAACCCAATATTACCAATAAGTTAAAAATATAATTTTATATTATTTTTGGTAAATTTTTCATTAAGAAATTTGCTATTTCACTATACACACTAATATATTGAAAGACCTTTCCGTTGCTCACGTGATTAATTAGCATAACGAATTCACTGTAACTACTTGTGTTTTACATTACATGACAATTTCTAGCTCTAACAATATATTTTTTAAATCTTTATAGAGAAGGTTCGACTTAGATATTTATTAAAGGTATTTACGATAGCAATTTTCACACTTCAGTCAATTAACATAATTGGTTATAGAAAAATATTAGTCAATTAACATAATTGGTTATAGAAAAATATTTATAACACTGACTACATTGAATAGGTATAAAGTGTCTAGATATACAGTACATGTGTTAACAACAGCATTCATATGCATTATCTATCGTACAAGTATTTTGTGCAAACATTCCGTTTAGAAAAATGGCTTTAAAGAAACACGGATATTCTCGTAATACTTTTTAACAATAAAAATAAAATCGTTTACGTAAAAGTTTTAGTAGAGGAGAAGGTGGTATTATGGAACACTGCGGGTATTATGGAACCACCCCATTTCGAACTGATAATAAAGGCGAACTGTAGCGGAATGTGGCTGAACTGAACTAAGCAGACATCCATAGCAAGGGGAAAACCCGTTTTACTTCAAGTTAAACAGTTGTTCGCATTTAATCAGCAAATTTGTTTTTTTCAAAATTCGCAAGTTTTGAATGCTAAGTGAATTTAATTATTTTTAAAATATAAATCGTGTAGTTGTAGGTTCACTGGTGCATGTATTCCGTTCCAGAGACTTAGGGGTACATATTAATCTGTGTGATGTTCACGTTTTTTAAAATTTGGTCTTGACAGTTAATTCGAGATGGCGATGCGTGAAATACGGACCCCATTGGTGCTTTTACAGTAATATGGAACTCAANAAATATTATATTTAATAGTTTATTTTTATGGTCAGTTGCAAGTGTGAGAACCAAGACCTGACAAAAAATGAGCAGGTAAAAATTTAATTTTTGAAATTAAAACTTGTTATAATTTTCCCACGATTGTTAAAATTGTAACGGATATGATTTTCATCCCTCTGTGAAGTAACTTTCCTTTCAAGATGAGACATCGAATGTATCACCAGGAACTTGGCGAAGAGAATTTGCTACTGGTGATAGGCGTTACAACATTGCCAAAAAAGCAATGGAGAGATGAGAGAGGACCCCCAATAAAAGGCAATGACTGATGACGATAAGATAATCTACCGTCCGAGGAGTCCGTGATCATCAAAAGTTTGCCGGTGTTGCCCAAGCACTCGAATACCTTACTTACCTAAGTGACTTTCCTGCCTCCAACGATTCATCCATCGATCCGTTAAGTCGTGAACTCCATCAACCCGTTGTATCGACAACGCCTTTTCAGATCCTTTAGCAGGTATCTATGTAAACGCTATGCAAACTTTCTCTCCATCTTAGAAGTATCGAAATAGTATCGTAAACGTAGTTTTTATTACATGATATTAACATTAAGAAAATAAGTAGCAGAAAACCAAAATGTTCAATTCTTCACTTGTTGAGCGAGTCCTACCGATTCGAAGCCGCTAAAAGATTATTCGAGCACTACTCTGTCTTCAGCGGATTCTCACATATATATTAAGTATGCACGTGCGTGCGCGCACGTCTGTGTGTGCTTTAAAATAGAATATAATATCTTATTAACGAAAGTTTAATTATTTAGTGTAATCCACTGATAAGCGTATTCCTAGTGGAAAACTACTGAAAATTCATGTTAATGACACGTCGCTGTATTATCAGGGAAAATGTATATTCCAAATTAGCTGTGAATATTGTTTCTTATTCTAATAAAATAAAATTGAAGAAAAAACTCTCCAAAAAGAATCACCATTTATTACTTGTGTTCCAAGACTAACACATTTTCGGCGACTGACCTTTCTTTTTACAGTTGTCTTGCTTACTTCCATCATACCTTCTTTTGGGGTTTCTTCTACTTTTCCAGCGCTAATATTTAGTAGATAAAGTAGAAGAAACCCCAAAAGAAGGTATGATGGAAGTAAGCAAGACAACTGTAAAAAGAAAGGTCAGTCGCCGAAAATGTGTTAGTCTTGGAACACAAGTAATAAATGGTGATTCTTTTTGGAGAGTTTTTTCTTCAATTTTATTTTATTAGAATAAGAAACAATATTCACAGCTAATTTGGAATATACATTTTCCCTGATAATACAGCGACGTGTCATTAACATGAATTTTCAGTAGTTTTCCACTAGGAATACGCTTATCAGTGGATTACACTAAATAATTAAACTTTCGTTAATAAGATATTATATTCTATTTTAAAGCACACACAGACGTGCGCGCACGCACGTGCATACTTAATATATATGTGAGAATCCGCTGAAGACAGAGTAGTGCTCGAATAATCTTTTAGCGGCTTCGAATCGGTAGGACTCGCTCAACAAGTGAAGAATTGAACATTTTGGTTTTCTGCTACTTATTTTCTTAATGTTAATATCATGTAATAAAAACTACGTTTACGATACTATTTCGATACTTCTAAGATGGAGAGAAAGTTTGCATAGCGTTTACATAGATACCTGCTAAAGGATCTGAAAAGGCGTTGTCGATACAACGGGTTGATGGAGTTCACGACTTAACGGATCGATGGATGAATCGTTGGAGGCAGGAAAGTCACTTAGGTAAGTAAGGTATTCGAGTGCTTGGGCAACACCGGCAAACTTTTGATGATTACGGACTCCTCGGACGGTAGATTATCTTATCGTCATCAGTCATTGCCTTTTATTGGGGGTCCTCTCTCATCTCTCCATTGCTTTTTTGGCAATGTTGTAACGCCTATCACCAGTAGCAAATTCTCTTCGCCAAGTTCCTGGTGATACATTCGATGTCTCATCTTGAAAGGAAAGTTACTTCACAGAGGGATTAAAATCATATCCGTTACAATTTTAACAGTCGTGGGAAAATTATAACAAGTTTTAATTTCAAAAATTAAATTTTTACCTGCTCATTTTTTGTCAGGTCTTGGTTCTCACACTTGCAACTGACCATAAAAATAAACTATTAAATATAATATTTTATATATTATAATTATTATTTCACTCTTATAGTCTTTTATTTAATAAAGAAGTAAATAGTCTCCCAATTACAAAAACGAAAGATATAGGATAATAATTTTTGGGATCATAAAGATAACTGTTAGATATATTAAAATAATCAAAAGTTTAATATACCATAAAGTAACACAGCTTTCTTTGTCACGTAATCTAGTCATTATAGAGAGCGGATTATAGATTTAAGCTAGTAATTTCTGTTTTAAAAATTTGAAAAAAAACCAATGAATTTGCTTTGCGTGTAAAAGATTTTGATTCTTCTGCATTTGGCGAAATAAAATAAAACTTTCGAACCTGGTGTTGAGGAAGAACTGTCTTCTGTTTATTCATACAAAATCGTTATTCATGCAATCATCAAAATATAAACTAAGCATCTTCAAAAACAATTGCAGTGGGAATTGTTTTTTCACTAACAAATAAGTTAAACGGATTTGCCTTTCAAAATCTTGAAAAGAGATCGCAAGGAATCAAGTGTTAAATATAAGTCGTGAAACGTAATAGTTTAGAATTTCGAGTTTATATTCAATGCATGCTACTAAGATTAGTAAGATTGTATGATCTTTTACTGACCACAAAAATATCCTTTCATTTTAAAAGAGAAAATTTATATTTGAAAATTTGGTAATGATTTTCATTATCCAATTTAATTTACTTCTTTGAGTAATAATTGTGATTCAAGCAACAATGATATATAAATATAGATTAAAGTAAATCGCCCATAAAACGTTAACTAAACATTATAATAGAAACTAAAAATATTTACTAAACATAGTTCCATAACGTCATTTTTGTAACACTTTTCCAACCATTTGGGTTTGATAGTTCACTGCACACCCATTTTTAAACCTGATTAGAACCATAATTACTAAATAATTTTAGAATGAATTTGCAAATATGCAATCCTTTATATCGATATAGAACACTTTCTTATCGACGTAAAGAAACTTCGTGAAATGCTTGAAAGCACCATTTAAACCATTACAGAAACAAGATCTTTTCTTGAAAAATTTCTCTGGGAAACTGGCTATTCTTTACGTGTAAATACGTGATAAAAACGCGGTAAATTCACGTCATCTGCTAGTTGGCTAGGCGCGAACTCGCTACCAATTACTTAATTTGATTATGAAAGTGAGATTTCGTGATTGGATTACATATGGAATAGATATAACAATTAATTAGAGATAGTTCAGAAAGTATTTTGTTTAATTATTTGTAATTTAAATCAACTTAACAGAAATGAATATATATTTTTTTACCTTTAGATGGCCGAAGTATGGAAAAATTATCACAGTGATGTTAATTGTGGCAGGAGTTGCATCACACGTTATTAATACAAATGTATACAAAGATCACACAATGTTTGGTTATTCTGCTGATTATAGGTATGTACTTTAATTTTATATAAATTTATTTACAGGACACCACACTATAAAATCAAAAATCAGATATACGTTTAGTGGACAAAAACAGAAAATATTAAAAATTTATTGTTACATTGAGAAAAACAATAAAAACATTTTTCATTAAGACACTATTACTAATACTGACAAAAATCGATACATTACTTTATAATACGTTTTAAATATGTACGAATTTGTTAAGATATGAATTGTTATATCCACAAGATTAAAGAATGATGTATAGATGTCAGACGAACGGAAAGATGTTCATCAGAGTAGCGTACTTCTATTGAACGTTCCACAAGGAATTATCTAACAGTCCTGATGCAACCGAATCTGCTATCGTGAAGAAAGAAAATAAATTTACATAAAACTATGATAAAATTTTTCACTATGGCAACGCAATAGCGCTATAAACAACGATAGACGAGCTGAATCTTTCTTCATGAGACATTTGTTGTTGGCCATTAGGAGTGCTGTTTGTAGAAAAGTGCTATTATCTCATTGTATTTAAAAAGCATCATAAACAACGAATTGCAGTCTAGATAACAACACACTTTTGCAGTTTTTAAATTATGAGAATGTGGTTCACGCTGAAAAATATCTCCTTATTCGCTAAGATTTCAATATAGCGTAAATGTTTTATACAAATGAAACAGTTTTTGCTTGTTGCTTCAAATTCGTCAGTGACAGAATGTAGTAGAAAAGTTTATACGAAAATATTCTCTGCATGGACTGAAATCTCCTGATACTAGCTAGATGGTATTTGGACAGCTCACTAAATAGCATTGAATATGAGTACATAGTTTATCATCATAAAATATTTTAAAGTTGCTTTTGTTTTTAATATTAGCAATGCATTGTGAAGCGTTCAAACGTCTGACAGCATGATGTAACGGAAGAATGTAAATTAACACATAATCTGCAAAACGGAGAAATGTTTCTCTTCATTATAAGATAAAAATTCGCCTGCATAATGAGGAAAACTAATTTTTTAATAACTTTTTTCTTTTCGTGAACATTATCATGTCTTCTTTAACAGGCCAATTATGGGTTTGTAAGGTTTACAGTGGGGCAGCCCTCCGAAATAGGTGTAGGCTAGATATACATAATCCAGTACACCCATTTATACGATTAATCTTTGTTCTTCGTTTTTTTAATTGGCTCAGAAATAGATCAATTGTTCATAATATGCAAAATATAAATTGGTTGTATTTTAATGTAAATTTTGAATTTATCAATTTTTTTCTTATAGTTTTTTTGTTTCTTGAAATAAGTAATTGGCAAATTTTTTAAAATTCTGTTTGTAATGCTACTATATTAATATTTTTATATTATTTTCTTTTCATTATTTTCAGAAAACTTTTAAATTACCTGAAACAGAATTACATTAAACCTTATTATGCACATCTCAGCTCATTTTTTACTGGATTTTTGTTTGGATGTTTTCTGTTGAAAAAAGGAGAAATTAAATTTGCTCGTGTAAGTATCAATATTTTTAANTCTGCTTTCTGTATATTTAAGTAGCCGTATAAAAAAAAGCGTTAGACTGATGTGTGGGATCCGACCAGTGTGTAATCCGATCAGTGTGTAATCCAATTTTTTCACTTTCCTCCTAAACTTTTTGACATATTTTAGACAAAGATAACCGGAAAAAACATCGTCAGAAAAATAAAGGAATTAAGTATCTCATCAAGACAATAAAAACGTATAGCTCTCTTCTTTAACGTAAACATTCGACCAACTAACAATAGTATTCTTCTGTAGTAAAACTTAAGCTTACAATTAAAGTCCAAATTCGTCATTTTGTTTTGATCTCGGGAACAACTTGCGACCTCTACACCTAGTTTTCTTAATATTTTAGAACGCTTATTGCATACATATTTTCATTCACAGTTCATTGATCCACGATTTTTACAACTCGATTGTTTTTTGTAAAAATGACTGTATGGCTTGGGTGATCTTAAAATTTTATTAGGTCTATTTAAACATTCGTCTACGCAAAAACTTTTGTAGTATTTTTCGCACTCTCTTCTTGTTATTGAGTCTAATCCCATAATGGTATTGGTATAATCATCTAAGGTATGAAATCTTTTATTTGCAATATACGTTCTTTCATTCTCTTGCAGACCATTGTTTAATATTTTGATTTTATTTGTGAATATTGAAGATTTTAAGAATTAATTAATTCTGATCTTTCTGAAACATAGAGAAGGCTGATTCTAATTTCCCTTGAACATTATCCTTAATTTTAATTGTCTTTTTTACAGTGGAATCTGTTTCATACCATCTTTTTATTTGCGCCTTCAACCCAACCCAGTCTATATAAATCTATATCATTTGTTTCAAGCCTAATTTTTTTTACTAAATCTATATCTGATTGTAGCTTTAGTGTGGTAATAAATATCTTGTCGTCTAATTCTGAACATTCTATTCCTTGCATCTTTTCCAGCCAAATATTTATATTTTGTTGATCAAAAGCTGGCCAATATATTACCTTTTGTGGAATGGTAGGACCTTTCGGAAGTATAAGACTGATTAAAGGATTTGAGTCAGCAGACTTTCCATTTGCAAACGAATTCTCAAGTTCATTGCATTTAGTTTCGAATTCTTCCCTAATTTGGTTTATTAAATTATTCTTCCTGTTAATAGGTGAAACAGACGAAAATTTCCGACATCTTTTCATCCAACAGAACATTAGATAAAGGTTTTCGTTCCATTTTCGAGTTTTCGATGTTTCTATGTATATTTTTTCCACATTTTGTTATTTTCTCTTGTGATTCACTAATGATTGATTTTAGATGCAAAATTTTGTTATCTTTCGAAACAATTCTATTTTCTAAAATATCAATTTTGTCTTTCATGGCCTTTTTTTATCATTTTAGTTAAGTACAATAATTTCTGTCACAGTTAAGCTATCCGAAATGTGACTTATTTTATGCTAATATATAATAATGCCTGATCGCATAACCCAATTATCAGCGGACTTTATGTATGAGACAAAGGAACAATGAACCTACCGTTATTTCTCCCTTTTAAGTTGGAACTAGCCATCGTTTTCTTTTGGTGTTTTTTTTCTTCAGATGTGATGNAGTTTTATAAGCGTTAGACTGATGTGTGGGATCCGACCAGTGTGTAATCCAATTTTTTCACTTTCCTCCTTAACTTTTTGACATATTTTAGACAAAGATATCACCTTACCGGAAAAAACATCGTCAGAAAAATAAAGGAATTAAGTATTTCATCAAGACAATAAAAACGTATAGCTCTCCTTTTTAACGTAAACATTCGACCAATTAACAATGGTACTGTATTCTTCTGTAGTAAAACTTAAGCTTACAATTAAAGTCCAAATTCGTCATTTTGTTTTGATCTCGGGAACAACTTGCGACCTCTACACCTGCTAAAACAACCTTTGCCTCTCACAATTGATTACATGACAGATTTTTCCATCATGAAATTATAAAAGCCGCTTCTCCTTTCCCTTAAGGATCGCTCGAAGTTCGTCAGAAGAAGTCGAATACTACTATACCGCCAGACCTATTCCGCAACCGTAGAACCGAATAACAAATTACCGAAGAATTATTACCCTGATATTTTTTCAGGAGGTGTGAAGCTACATTGTAAACTCTCTCTCTCCTCCGCGAATTAGAAGGATAGTGTAGAAAAAAACTTCTAGTTCTTACTTAGTTAATCGATTTAATAAACTCTTGTTTTGTTTTAATGGTGTGTTTACTCGACTTTGCCAACGTCTTATCGTCGACCACTCAAACTCTCCTACAATCGCGTAACGCGTAACAGAACGTAAACTCCATCCTTGACAAAAAAGTAGGTCACTGACCTGTTGTCGGAAAGGAGAAGCATTTCCAATCTCCCCGGCAGCTCACAGATGTATCATACCGAATGCTCTCTTGTGTAATCATCTTGTCAAAATAGAGAAGCCCCTAATTCTACATCACACATATCTGTGTGATATAACAAATTCTTTCTGAATCAAAGTAACCAAAGTAACTTAGAACTGATGAGTTACGGACTTTTTTTAATCGTACAGAACTTTCTTGTTCGGTATGTCTCCAGATGAACTTTTGATTGATTCTCTGTAAACAGAATAATAGTGTAGTGATAGTCGAGAAATCCTTTATCATTCGTCTAAAACACGGATGGCCAAAGGTTTAACCACTACGGGCGACCTGCTTTTGAAGCTTTTGGCGGCGGTCTACTAACATTAAAAGTAGTAATTTAAAGCCAAAGATAAGTTTAAATAGAAAATAAACATAGATAATACTAATACCAATTCAATATCAAGTTGTTTTAATAACAGCAGTTAATGATGACTTCACACAAACGTAAAAATACTATGTAAATAAAACAAGTTGTTCTTTTTAATTATAATTGCCTTACAGTCCTTATTTCGAATTAATTTTTAATTTTCTACTTGGACATTATTCATTAATAAAACTTTACACTGGTGTTTAAAAATTGACACAATAATGAGGATTAGTTTAGAAAAAGCAAATTTTCTTTATTAAATCACCTGCAGTAGTAACTTTTTCTGTACGCTTAAATGTGTTTCGGGCTAACACGCCCCTCATCAGCAGTATTACTAAAAACCACTACAATAAATAAGATAAATTCTAAATTAATTTAATATATATATATATTATTGTTGAAAACTTATTTTATATTTTTAAGTAATATAAAATATATCTTATCTATTTCAGTAGTTTGTAGTAACACTGCTGATGAGGGGCGTGTTAGCCCGAAACACATTTAAGTGTACAGAAAAAGTTACTACTGCAGGTGATTCAATATAGAAAATTTGTTTTTTTCTGAAATAACTTTCATTATTGTGTCAACTTTTAAACACCAGTGTAAAGTCCTATTAATGAATAATGTCCAAGTACAGAATTAAAAATAAAGATATTCTTTTATTTTAGTTTTATTAATGCAAACAATATGTTTATTATTAGGTTTACAATTCATAAATATTAACTTTTTATGTAGTATTAAATGGTGCGCTAGAAACAGGACATTGCATATTTTCAACAATCTTATCATAATTTTATTCATAACTACTTATAGCCATTCTTAAACATGCTGCCAAATGGTCATTTGTCAAACGGGAGCGATGTTTTGTTTTGATTCCATTCATTGTAGAAAATGTGGATTCGCAGAGGAAAGTGGATCCAAAAAAGTAGTCAAATACGCTGCGCATCCCCAATCATGGATATTTTTCTTAACAAAGTAAATTCCAAAGATTATTTGTGAAGAAAATCGTTATTTCAAAAATATATCGCATCTTTATTTAAGGATTTTGTCCTTTATCAGTATTTGGTCCACAAACGAAAATTTTTAAAATTTTATTGATATTTCTTCTATTTGTATTTCATTATTGAACGGGAATGACTTCAGAAATGTTATATCGTTTAATTTTGAAATATCTTTAGATTGTCTAAAACATTCATTTCTTAACAGAGTTATCTTATCAGCATATTGATCATATTCATGTGAGATTTGGATCTTTGGATTTGGCTGCGATATTTTTATATTGATTTAAATCTCCTCTCCTCAATTGCACTCATAGGAGAGAAAGTTTTATCTTTGAATGTATTTAACGGGGCTAATTATGTCAACCAATGTTTTGTTCTTTCCTTGAAGTCACAAATATTACTCGTTTAGTTTTCCTGTAATGTCAGAAAGTAAAGCAAGATCAAGAACCCACTTATCATCTTCCAATTGAGGAAATGATTTGTTAGCTGTTGCGATAAACTTATTTATTTCAGATAAAAGATCCAAGAATCTTTTTAAAACTTAGCACTGCTCAGCCATCTTACACCAGTGTGAAATAGTAATTTCCCAAGATCAGATTCACATTTTTCTATTAATGCTCGAAATTTTCAATCTTTGCGAACTGCTTCCACGACTATAATTAACTATTTTGAATGTTACATTCATCACATCGTCTGAATTTGATTTCTTTGGACACAAATACTGCTGGTGGATAATACAATGGTAGTTAATAAAACTTTGAATATCATCACTATTTTTACAAAGAGTTATAAGCCTATTATGCTTCCCAATTATAGCAGGCTCTCTATCAGTCGTTATAGACACCAGTTTCTGTATTGAAAATTCTGTTATATTTATAAAACATTTGAATAAATTATATATAGGCTTATATCTTGACCTCTCGTTTGTTCCTTCATAGGTAAAATAGTTAACAATTCTTCTGTAACAGAGATATCTTGGAATCCCATTCGAATAAATACACATAGCTGTGCGATATCAGAGACATCCGTTGATTCGTCGAATTTCAAAAATAGGAACCTGAATTTATTAATATTTTCTTTAAGTAACTCTTTTAAATTTCTACTTATCGCTTTTCTTCTATCCATAACAGTGTTTCGCGACAGCGACAATTCTTTAATGGGAAAAATTATTTCAAATTTATGTTTCAAAATTTGAAACATAAATTTTGTTCCATTTTCGAGTTTTCGATGTTTTTATGTAGGGGAGACCGGGGCAACTTCGGCTTGCGGGGCAAGTTTGTCAAGCGCTTTTTTTTTAAAAACAAATTAAAAGGAGACTTTGGTTATAGGTTAGGCAGTTGAGTTTTATTGGTGGCTTGTTGAATGTAGTGTTTTTATTGTTCTCCAACAAGAGTAGTTGAATTATCAAGCAAATTTTCATTTTCGTTCAATTCCATATAATATTTTTTTTCCATTTATATTGAATTGGCAGGTTTTGTTATAATTCCATGATAACGAAAGTTACTTTTCCTGTTAGAAGGATGTAACTTCAACTTATTCACGTGGCCAGATCGTGGCTTGGCATTCTGTTCTCAGGGTTGTACTTAATGTTTCGAAATCATGACTAGCGGGGTAAGATCGGCAACATAAAGCCACATTAGAANTGGCGTTGGTATAATCATCTAAGGTATGAAATCTTTTATTTGCAATATACGTTCTTTCATTCTCTTGCAGACCATTGTTTAATATTTTGATTTTATTTGTGAATATTGAAGATTTTAAGAATTAATTAATTCTGATCTTTCTGAAACATAGAGAAGGCTGATTCTAATTTCCCTTGAACATTATCCTTAATTTTAATTGTCTTTTTTACAGTGGAATCTGTTTCATACCATCTTTTTATTTGCGCCTTCAACCCAACCCAGTCTATATAAATCTATATCATTTGTTTCAAGCCTAATTTTTTTTACTAAATCTATATCTGATTGTAGCTTTAGTGTGGTAATAAATATCTTGTCGTCTAATTCTGAACATTCTATTCCTTGCATCTTTTCCAGCCAAATATTTATATTTTGTTGATCAAAAGCTGGCCAATATATTACCTTTTGTGGAATGGTAGGACCTTTCGGAAGTATAAGACTGATTAAAGGATTTGAGTCAGCAGACTTTCCATTTGCAAACGAATTCTCAAGTTCATTGCATTTAGTTTCGAATTCTTCCCTAATTTGGTTTATTAAATTATTCTTCCTGTTAATAGGTGAAACAGACGAAAATTTCCGACATCTTTTCATCCAACAGAACATTAGATAAAGGTTTTCGTTCCATTTTCGAGTTTTCGATGTTTCTATGTATATTTTTTCCACATTTTGTTATTTTCTCTTGTGATTCACTAATGATTGATTTTAGATGCAAAATTTTGTTATCTTTCGAAACAATTCTATTTTCTAAAATATCAATTTTGTCTTTCATGGCCTTTTTTTATCATTTTAGTTAAGTACAATAATTTCTGTCACAGTTAAGCTATCCGAAATGTGACTTATTTTATGCTAATATATAATAATGCCTGATCGCATAACCCAATTATCAGCGGACTTTATGTATGAGACAAAGGAACAATGAACCTACCGTTATTTCTCCCTTTTAAGTTGGAACTAGCCATCGTTTTCTTTTGGTGTTTTTTTTCTTCAGATGTGATGAACCTCTTTTCCTCATTGGTTGCTCCAATTTGATACGGGTAAAACGGACACTAGCCAGGTACAAGTCTACAGTCATTGACACTCGTGAGTCTGTACCCGATGATTCAGTCTATTGTGGGATTTCAATTCATTTTCTCATGCTAGGAGACGTCTCAGCAAGAAGTGAATTTCTTTCTTCTTCTCTCTGTTTGTATGCACTCACTTAACAGTTTTTACCCCGAAGCAGTAGCTATTCATTCTCGATCGATGACTTAGTCCATTGTATTCGAATCCAAAAATTTATCCGTTACATACTTATCGCAACTACCCTGTTTTCGCTAAACACTGCACACATGCCATTGTAGTAAAGACCGTTTCTCATATCTCTCGTCTCTTGATGAATCCATTTCTGTTTTAATTCTTTGAAACTGTCGATATACATAGATTTATATAAACTACGTTTTGTCGAACTAGTTTGTTTTCACTTCTGTACAGTGCAATAATTCACTCTTCTCTTTCAAGAGATCAATGCCAATATGTGACGTCATTATCTAACGTGACTTTTTCCAATTCGATGGCGTCGATATGATAGAAGTGCATTTACTGAGAAGTAAAAACGTCTTTATTTCTTTTCGTTCTCCCGGTTATACAGTCGCACACTAATCGAAATACGGTATCTATTTTTAGTAAGGGCAGCTGGTAAAGCTGAATGAATTATTACTTGTAGTGCATATATAAAGAGATTGCCGCAATTCATTTCGAGTGTAAATCAAATTTCGAGTTAAGCAAAGGATACTTAAAACTCTTAATCTCCAACTTCCCTTTCTCTCTGCTTTCTGTATATTTAAGTAGCCGTATAAAAAAGTCTTATATTTCTCTATTTTTATCGTAATAGTAATATTTGATTGAATAAAAAAAGTTTTAAATAATATTACAGAAAACCCTTCTGGTATTTTGGATCGTTAGTATTATATTGATAATGCTGGCAATATTTGGATTGCACGGTTATAAAAGAGAAACGTCACCAAACGACACTATAGTGTATTTACATCACACGTTATCTCCATTTGCTTTTACTGTGGTTACCGCATGGATTTCTGTTGCATGCATTACGGGATACGGTGGTAAGTAAATGAATTTTGAATCAATTACACATAAAATTTAGTTATTGATTTCTTATTTTATATTAATAGCATGATTTCATTACAGGTATCTGTAATCGAATTTTTTCTTTGCGAATATTTTGTATGTTGGATAAATTAATTATTTGGATCTACATGCTTCATATACTAGTTTTAATGTATATTTATAGTCATTTACGGAAAGGTCTTTACGCATCAGCAATAACTCTGGTAAGATTAGTTTAAAAATAAAAATAAATAATAAAAGTTCAGCGAAGAGTTGCTTAACTTTCCCGGAAACATTTAAAAGCTACAAATTTGGCGTCATCTCATTGTGTTTTAATACTAAGATTCGATATTTTTAATTATTACAAAATGGCAAGAAACATAATTTTGAACATAAAAACGGATTTTATAAAAAGTTGTAAATGCTACTAACGATGAAATTGTCATGATACCGGATTTTACTCGAGATAGGACATACAATCTCTCTTTATTTCCCCACTCTCGGTATCTTTAACCACCGACATTGAATAGGATGACTCCCGTAATAATAAACCTCCCTGTAAAAACTTTCAGACATTTCGACTTAAAGCACAAGAGTTGTTAAGCTTCAAAAAAAGTAATCAAAATGGTGACCTCCCCACATACATACATATATACAGAAAATCACTTGAATAATTTATATTTTTCGATGTATCGAGGTCCCTGTGTCCAGAAATATTATGATACATTCAGACACCTGGTTTATCAAAACTGAAATTCATGGTACGCTCATAGATATTTATGGATATGATGTGATATTGATTCAAATAATACGGGAACATTTCTCTAATGTATTTAAACGGAGAATCAACAGTAAAAGCTGTCCATTATTCTGAGACTTTGAGTGAATTCTGGTTTGGAATATCTCAAAAGATTTTAGAATTCGTTACATAAGAGACCATTCTTCTCCAGTAAAATGCCTTTTTGTATATTGCGAAATAAATAGTTGTAAACATTACAATATTTTTAAGTTACCGTAGAGGTTTAATTCCTCTTAGAGACCCTTTTTCTGTACAGTTCTGTGTTTTATTTAACAGTATTTGATAAGTAAGTGAGAAAAAAACGAATGTTTGAAAATTAGAAATATGCACAAAACTTATTCAGGTGGTGTGGAAATTTTGCTTTTATATATTGTCACGAGTGACTAAAACTTAGAAAGTTTCTATGCCCAGAAAACTTACAAGTTAAACTCCCTTCATATGTGGCCGCCAGCGCCAGAGATCCTGAACACTGTCTGGCAACACTTGCCAAGATCACGAACTCTGTCTGGCAACACTTGCCAAGAAGAGTGGCTGGCAACGTGAAAAAAGAAAAGGCGCAAAAGTTCGTTGGATTTTGTCCGGGTGTTGCCCGAGGATGTCTGTGACAGTTCTAACCTTTTCTAATAAAGTTCTTTTTTGTTACTGTTCGTGTTTGCCTGCTTAATGTTAGATCTAAACATCAGTAGGATTGAATGACAAACATATAAGGTAAAGTAAGGATGAGGCAACTGTGTCCTTACATGATAAGGAAAATATGGGGGGACTTTCGTATCTTTGATGTAATCTGATATAAATACATAACATAAAGATCAGTGTAAGTACAGAAGTAATTTTTGGCATTATATAGGAAAGCGTTACATCGAGGTTTAAATGTAAGCTTTCAGAACATAAATAATATCATAAAACGTATTTAAGAATAAAAGATATTGTTAATTAATAAATATCAAAATTTATTTTTTTTAATTAATGTATTTCTTTTCTTTGTTAGTGGATGTTGTTCCTAATGGTGATGTGCCTAACTTTGATAGCGTCGTTACTCATGCATTTATTTGTGGAAACACCTTTGAATTATCTTATTGATAAAATAATTGATTTTTTCTGTAAGAAGAAAAAAGTGGATAAAAACGAAGAATGCAGAATTTATAATTTGCGTGAAAATCAAAGCGACGACAACAATAAAGTCTAATAATATCAATTATTTTAATATGATTAATACACTTGAAGACATTGTGATTTCAAATATAATTAAATTGATTTGTAACAATATTGATTAATGTATTTCTTTATTCGATATATATAAATGTATTCAATAATATAGGTATAATTGTATTTAATTGAAATATAATTAAAGTGGTAATAATATTTGCAATATGTTGTAAAATTACAATTTGGGGAAAAATCGCTTGACATTTCGTAATTTCGTATATTAGATATTTTATATTTGCATGAATTTACGAAAATATATTATTTTATTATTTCATTGTTTATTACAGGCATATACTGTATTCAAAAGTATACAAGTAGAAAATTTGATTTTTACTACGAAATTAAAAAGAAAATCTTCTACTTGTATACTTTTATACTTGTAAGAATATAATTATATACTTATTTTTTCTTAATAATTTGGGGAAAAATCGACCAAAATATGTAATTATTTGTGTATCTGGAAATTACTAGTGCTTAGAAACTCTCGTTATATTCAGAGTTTATTCTAATTTTAAATATTAGTCACTGCAACTTTCTTAGATAAAAATACAATAGCACTTCTATATATTTCGCACGTAGAAGAAATGATAAACAACTTTTAAAGACGTGTTTTTATCTAAATTAAAATGACATTATACCATTGTGACAAGTGAAAATTCTTCTACGCTGTAAGAGTATGAAAAAGAATTGTTTTTCTGCAGTTATTTCGAAATTCCCCTCGTTCCATTGTATTAGAATTTTTTGTCATCGCTTCAGCTATACCTACAATAAGAACGACCTGTTGAGGCTTCAAAAACTACAACGTAAACTTTCTGAATGGAAAATTTTGTTGACATTTTAACATGATTTCTTCTTGTTATCGTTATAATTGTTAGGAGTAAGCATAAAATTGTTTGAGAGGACGAATCGTACAGAAACTGAAAACGAAAATAATTAAACAGGGTTTATTAATGCTACAGAACATGAATTTCGGGCACGAAAGATTTAAAGAGGAATCTAGTGTACACAAGCCCTTTTAGCCATCACTCGAAACCATTTTATTCGCCGAAACCCATATTAAATAAATCGTACAGATGTGCATTCAAGTATTGTACGAAATTAAAGCATTAAAAACATCACAACCATAAAAATTTCTAATAGTTCAGAAATAATTGTAAAATAAACTTTTTACAATTCAACTTTATCGAAATTTTGTAAATCATATATTTTTACAGACAGATATTCGTTTACGCTTAAAGCTTAATTCAAATTCAGAATACAGCGTAAAAATTCAGACGATTTAATATTAAAATAAGAAAAAGATGAAATTTTGCCTGAATATAAGTTCATGACAGTAGCGTGCCGTGGCATTTGATGATAGGGAAGCTGTGTTTCTGAAAAAAACTGACTTGCAGGGACAATCGGTTATGGTCTACGGTACATTCGTATTCGTTTTATCGATAAATCGTACAATTCTCTAAATGTATTTTTTATTTTTAAATTTCTTGTTTTGGGGGAAAAACTCTCGGAAAAGTACTTTGTTATTATATATTGAAGAAAAAAAAAAGTTTATTTTAATTACAAAAAGTTTTAAACAGTCTTTGTCTTTGCGCCTTGGATGATTCTTAAATGGTTTTTTTCCATCATGATAGCCAACTTTACAGGTGCATCCCATCCTGCAATGTCGGCTTATCCGTATAGTTTTTTTTATCTGCTGGGAAGCTGCCATTAGTGGGTAGAGTAGTTAAAAAATGAAACATGATGAAACATAAAATAAAAATAAATTTAATGATATAAAAGATATTTTAAAATAATATATAAAAGATATAATGATAAAACTACAAAAATACAAAATTTGAATCATAAAAATACAATAATCTAAATATATAAAATTGCTTGTTCTGACAGACTGACAGACTGAATGACTAACTCACTCAATGATTCATCATCGCCCAGAGCAGACCGCTTAACGTAAAGAGGTGAAATTTGGTAGACAGTTAAGGTACGTCATGGAAACGCACACTAAGAAGGGATTTTTCGAAATTCCTCCCGGAAGGGAGGAGAGAGGATTAAGTATTAACTGGAAGAACGGCTTCTACTGTACTATTTTAAATGCGATTTTTTGTTTTATCTGCGTTTTAGTAGGGTATGCCATTGCAATGCACACTAAGAAGGGATTTTTCGAAATTCCCCCGCTGGCGGGAGAGGGAGAGGATTTAGTTTTCATCGAATACTTAGGTGTATTAAATTAATAACATTTCAGATATTGTTATAAATATTTTTATCTATTTCGATATTAAAACTGTTCGAACCATTTTAAATTCGAATTTGTTATTGCATATTGGTTCTATTATAGAACGATTGTAAACGTTCCAGAAAATTGATTAAATTGAAAATAGTTCGTTTGATTCTCGGCAATTCTCATAATTCTCAGCGGTAAGTGTTATAACAATTACTATGGTTGTTAAAATACTGAATATAAATGGGGTTTGCTTGTAAAAGCCGCGAGTAACAGCTAGTATAACATAAAATAGGCAATACAATACGAAAAAGGTAAAAAAAATTTGAAAAATTGAAATTTTGGTGAAGGAGGACTATCCACATTATATTCGACCCAGTTTCTGGCAGGGGGGCTGTCTGCATTGTCGCTGTTGTCTGACAACACATTCTGGCTAACATTAATATTGCTATCTGAATCACTATCAGACAGTTCTTTAAACTCAAAATTCAAATCTGACGTTATTACAATACAAAAAATTTACCTGAACACCCGTTATATTTATCTAACGCGAAATAAAACAATTATTATTCTTCTCTAGAAATAGTATATTTCTTATAAATTTACTTGATAAAATAGCGAAATGTATTTAGTCAAGCAGATAATAGATAATACAGAATTTCCAACTGTTCTAGCAAAAGGAAAAAAAATTATCTAAACACCCGTTATATTTATCTAACGCGAAATAAAACAATTATTATTATTCTCCGGAAATATTATATTTCTTATAAACTTACTTGAAAATTACTGGATAAATTTTATTTAGCCAGTATTTCTAAGAGCGCACTAGAACCAAAGGAGAACTTTTCTTGCTCTTCAGTAGACAAGTGAAAATTTGAGAATTTCTCGAAGCATTTGAAAGAAGAACAAAGAGACAGAAATTCTAAAAACGAAAAGATAGAAATTCTAGGAACAGTAACGTTTGAGAACCCCATTATTTGAAACTTACAGTACATTACATATTTCTATTTATCAAATTTTTATTATAAGTTCTGAGAATTGATAATTATATGAAGGTGTTTGGAAGTTTTTTTAAAATGCTTTTATATGTAAATAATTTTACAAAAATATGAATAACATATTACCGTTTATGATCGTTTACTATAACATATATGTTAACAAAAATTTATAAAATCGAAGATTTTAAAAAAACTCAAAAACTTTTTTGTATAAGCATTCGATCGATCTGTTATATGTTACATAGACAGGTCTATTCTCTTAAAAAAACAGCAGCTTTCTAAATAGACGTAGAGATAAAATATGGCCTATATCTGCAATGCGCGGATTTATTAAATTTTGTAAATCTAGGTCAACACACTTTTGTGCACAGATGGTGTATATTTGATTTTGTTTATGTTATTTATACTATTATAATAACAGCGCAATATAATAAGCGATTATTACCATATTATATGAACCATTACACATGTATTATTTTTTATGTATTACAGAAGTACCACAATAATCCGGAAGTACTTTGTTTTTTAGTAAGACTTATAGCTGGATGATTCTGAAAAAAACGTTTATAAATGTAAAACAGTATGAATATACATATAAATTTACTAAACTCAGGTAAAAATAATGATTTATGATTATTTGTATACGTGTGTAGCTGACAACTATCTACGAGAAGACATGGCATTTTTCATGAAAATTCTCACCCTACAAACCCGAGTCGATGCTTATTCGTTGAAGGAGAGTTAATTAGCTATAATGTACCAATTACAGCTCAACAGGCATTTGATCGAAGGTTTGTTTCATCCAATAAACAAAAGAAGAGTGTTCCATAGATATAACATAGGAATGAGGTGTTTTGTACAAACTGTAACCAAATTTTCAGTAATCTAAGCTTTGATTCTTCTATGCGTCTTTTAACTGTCTCAACCAATAAATGTTTTGTCACCACCTCCAGGCCATAAATATTTCGTGAAATACCATCCTCTCCCAGTGTGAAGTAACTAGAGGCTTCTCACCTCTAGTTACTTCACACTGGGATGGTGCAGATTATTAGGTGATAAAATTGATAGTTTACATCTTTTAAACTGTAGTTAATTACTTGCTGTCTATGTTGATATTGTATCAACGAATCAGCCACCTGTAAAAACAGTGGAGCTCAAATTTCCGCTAAGTGCCACATAAAATTAAAAAAAACTTATAATACACCAAATTATAAAAACCATTTCTAAAAAATTTTAGCATAAAACTTTGTTTCCTTTATTAGATATTATTTAGAAACGAATTATCTTTCATATAACAAAAATCGCAACAGCTCACGTGATACGCAATGCATTTCGGTGTACAGAGCTAAATATCCTTGAGAACAGCTATTGATAGCTATTCGCAGGATGTTCTCATACAAATCTCAGGGAAAGACAGGTTTCTAGACAGATATGCATCAGTTCCCGTAAATACTCAAACACATCCAGAAATTTTCGATTCGATATACTATCTTTATAGATAGGGACCAAGAAAATGGTCCAAAAATGAACTTCTATTGGGTATTAAATTACCAACCTTGCTGTGGTCATCAACAACATCCAATAAAATGTAAATAAGCTTTATTTGAATTATTTCGAGCAACGAGAAGTTACGTACGATTATTTGTATTTGCCGAGTTAACTCAGGTCCGGACCGCAAGTATTTTAATTAATTAATTGTTTACCTGGTCTTGACTCAGATTTACTTTGATCGCCGATTTCTCTCTCGACTAACGCACTGACCTCTCCACATTCGTACTAAAACCTATCTTAATTTCAACGTATAAATGATCATATTTCTTATCGAGAGTTAAGACGCGTTATTGATTAACTGGTGTCAGGAGACTGACTTCTGACAGAGCTTACGATCCCGAAGAGAAATTCAATAAAAAGCCATCCAGTGAGAAGGTAAGCAGCCTAACTGTCCCAATGCCAGATGTAAATGAAGCTAGTAATAACCTCCTTACCATGGGTTCTCATAAATTGAAACAAGTGAAAAAAATGCAAGAATTTTGAAATAACTGCAGATAAACCCAAGAACACATTTTTTCCATATTCTTGCAGCACAAACTTCACTTGTCAGTCAGTTATAATAATTTTAATTTTGATACAGAACTTCTAAGATTTTTGAAAGTGTAGAACATTAGATAAGTCCGTTTTTATCTAAAAATGTTGAAGTGGTTATGACTTCAAATTTAGAATAAAGTGTAAATATGACGAATCGCACTGAGTACTAGTAATTTGAAGAAATACAAATATTTTGTATTTTTGGTTACTCGAATTCTACTTCTGCTCTTTGTATTATAATTAAAACCCCTGAGGCTATGTACACACTAGGTGTTTTTAAACGCGCGTTTTAATAAATGCGCGTTAGCAGCGTACACACCGCGCATTAGCTCCATGTTCGACAACCGTTCAGTGAAGCATACACACTGGCTCAGTTTGGAAATGGACGTGAAAGTAATTGCTTGTGTGCGCCTCCTCCATCGTCGCTATAAAAGACGATGGCAGAGGCAAAGAAAACTTTGGGTGCACCCAATATTACGAGATAGATTGACACGTGGAATGCGTGCGACGTTGTATCCAAAACTAAGACAAATGAACCCAAGTTTTTTAATTCTTTTAAAATATCTGTAAAATCATTTGACAATGGTTGGTCTCTTTTAAATTTCATCAATAAATAGATCAGTATCGAAATGATCGTTCTCCATTTTGGCCAACGTACGTCCACTCTACCCGAAAGCACGTGATCGAATGTACTGTACAACAACATGGCAGTACATATATCTCAAAGCGCTGGACTGACAACTGCAAAATGCGCGTTTTAACAAAAATCTATCAACGCGCGTTTGACGCGCGCTTGGCCAAAAGAGCGCGTTTGAAAATGTATGTCTATGCAGAACTCTTGGTTCTTTAAAACGTGCGTTTAAAAGCGCCTAATGTGTACACAACCTTAAGTTCGAACGCTATGGAACCTGCCCGAGTTAACTCGGGCGGGTTTTATAGCGTTACAAACAAACGGTGTTATGAACCCTCCGGGAAATTTTTTGGGGGTTTTGGATTTTTTTAAGTCTCCAAATTTTTTCAAAAAATTTTCCGCGCAAAAAAATTTTATCGCGATTTTAATCTATTTTTAATGACGCACGATTGATGCTTAATTGTTTTTAATGAGATTTTTTTTAATCAAATTTCATTCATTGTTCTAAAGTTCTAGAGCACGGATTTTACTTTGGTAAAGTTATTTGAAGCTAGTTTCTTATGTCAAAAACGACCTCCAATAGTTTTTTAACTTTTTTGATTGATATATTTTATTATATATACGCTTAATTAAGTTGTGGGTTAGAAATTTCAATAAAAAACGTAATTTTTGAAAAATGTTTAAAAATATATGGCCAGCTAGTATTCACCCTACTTTAAACCCTCATCCCTCTGTAGATTTTATGAGAATGTTCCGCGAAAGACGATACCAACTGTTCTCAAGGTCATCCAGCTGTAAACACAATTACTCATCGGCTTCAGATTTTTCGCAGAAAGGCCAGACAATGGAGTTAATCTTTGAAGCTTTTTCTTCAAAATTAACGCATTTCTTTCGTTTTTTCAGTTTTAAGTATTTTTTATGTTTAATTACATTAAAATTAAAAATTGGTGGGTAGCAAAGGGGTTAATAAGAAAAATATTTTCTACTTTTATACTTTTGAATTTATACCTGTTATAAACGATGAAACAAAAAATAATATATTAGTAACGATTTAATCAAAAAATAATATATTTTCGTAAATACAGTAGAGCATAGATTTTTCGAATTCCGAGCAACCGAAACATTGGTTAACTGAAAGCGTTTCAGTCGGCAAATTCAAATTGTTGCTAGTGTTGTGGTGCTACAATATTTGGCTACGTCTTGGACTATTTCAATATTATTTTTGTTCGTGTGCATGTTTTAGCTGTCAGCACTGGAGCGACCATATTGTATCGTTAAAAATTATTTCTTTATTCTGCACAATGAATATAAATATATTGAAAAATATAAAAAGAAAAAATTATATTTCAGAAGTTAATTAGTCCAGAGGGTACTTAAGGACACGCCAGTATTTGAACAAGGCATTTTTCTCTCATAGTGAGCTATATTCTAGGAACCTTGCATCGTAGTGGTGTGTTCGGCTTCAGCTCGTTTGAGATTACAGTCCAAGCGGCTTACATCTCCACATAAACACATTTTATCTGGACGTGTAGCGCTGAATCAAAACGTTTTTGATACTAGATTGACTTCTGAAATATAATTTATTTATGCTTCTATAGTTTTCAACATACTTATTTTGTTTGTGCAAAATAAAAAAATAATTTTTAACTCTACAATAGCCACGATTATTATTTTTTAAAACTTTCGTTAGGCTTAACATGAATGAAAATCCAAAGCGAAATGACACGCAACGAAGAATAATTTCAAAACGGGATAGGTTAATATATTTTTTCATACATGATCAGTTAGCAAAAAATCAGTTATCCGAAGAACTCCAGTTTCTAATTGTTTCGGATAATCGATGCTCTATTGTACAGTACATACAAATACAAAGGGGCTAATACAGAATGTCAAGAGATTATTTCTAGAATTTTAGCTTTACAAAATACTGAAAATATCACTATAAACCACTTTAATTTTATTTGGAATGAATACAGATATACGTCTATTATTGAATACATTTAAATGCATAAAATAAAAAAATACATGTAACCAATATCGTTACAAATCAGTTTAATTATATTTGGAATCATAATATCTTCAAATATATTTATAACATAAAGAAAATTGATATTATTAGGCTTCATTATTGTCGTTGTTTTGATTTTCACGCAAATTATCAATTCTGCATTCTTCCTTTCTGTCCACTCTTTTTTTCTTGGAGATAAAATTAATTGTTTTATCAATAAGATAATTTAAAGGTGTTTCCACAAATAAATGCATGAGTAACGACGCTATGAAGGTTAGACAAATCACCATTAAGAACAACATCCACTAAAAGAGAAAAAACATGAATTAATTTAAAAATGCAAATTTTTTTAATTTATTAAATAACAATATTTCTTTTTTAAACACTTAACAATCTAAATGTTTAAAATGCTTACATTTAAACGTCGATGTAACGCTTCTGTATCAAATGCCCGAAATTACATCTATATTTAAACTTATCTTTATGTTATATATTTATATCAGGCTTTATTACAAGATAGGAAAGTCCTTCCAAATTACTCTTTTCACCTAAGGATATAAGTGCCTTAACTCTATTTTATCTTATAACAAGGGTGCTTAATTAACATGTAAGTTTCCGAAGTCTGGTATAATACTAAATTTTACTCACTCATGACAATATATCACAGGAAAGTTTTCCGACCTCTTTTAGTTACTTTTTCACATATTTCTTATTTTCAGACATTTATTTCTCTTTCTTACTTACTCATCAATTTTTGTTGAATAGAATATAGGACTATACATAAAAGGGTGTATCTGGGGTGATTTACACCTGTACGGTAACTAATAAAAATTTGCTATTTTTGCAACTATTTATTGGTCAATATGAATACAAGCATTGTCTTCGAAAAAATGACACCTTATGTATCGAATTTAGAAAACTATACAGCAGTGATTCCCAAACATTTTCGATCTACTGCCTACTTTGTTCCGTAAAGTTAAATCCCATGCCCCCTAAGCAATTTTCTCTTGTGTAGAAAAAGTTCAGAATATTCTTAGAAAAACCATTCTATGAAACTCACACTGTGTGTCTTTACCGTACGTTGTTCTCCAAATTTGAAAACTATTAAAGCAATGTTTCTTAAATTAATTAACATTCGTTTAAAAAAAAAAAAAAAGACAGAAGAAGGTTGTCAGTTAACCCAACATTTATCTATGGTCACCATTCAGTTTCCCACGTTCAGCTCTGACTGCTGTCCACAAGGTAATAACAGCTCACACTTTGGGAACCGCTGATTTCGAGTATTTCAAACCAGAATTTACTCAACGTCTAACAATAATAAACAGCATTTACCGTGGATTTATTTAAAAAATACATTCGATCCATGTGTCTGTTTCACCTCTATGAACATCATATCATAGCCATACATCTCTGTGAGTCTAACATGACTTTTACTTTTTGATAAACCACCTGTCTGATCGTATCACATAACTATTCTCATCTGTAGAATGATAAGTCATTTAAATCTTTATTGATTCCTCGGTAATGTGAATAAACTTTCTAATCTATCCTACAGCGCATAAACAAAAAGCAATCTTTAGAATTGGTTATCAAAATTTTACTATATTTTGTAATTTTTACATTATCGACTCTGTAATCTATTACAAAGGAAAAGTATGGCGATCGGCAAGACAACAACTCTCTAAGTATTTTACATTTACAGTACGAAACGTCGACCAGTATAAATTATTCGGGAATTTTCTGTATGTATAAATGTTAGCGTGTGCATGTGAAAGGGCATCATTCATTGCCCTTTTTCAAGTTTAAAAACTCTTGTGCTTTCTGTGGACATTTAAAAATTTTTTTCAAGGAGGTTTATTATTAAGGGATTCATGCTATTCAATTCCGATGGTTAAAGTTCGAAAAGGAAAAGAAATATAGGCAGGTCGTGTGTCATATCTCGAGTAAAATCTTACATTATGACAATTTCAATCGTTAATAGCATTTAAAATTGTTTTATTAAACCCATTTCTATGTTTAAAATTGTTTTTGCCATTTTATAAGTAAAAATATAATAAGTTTTAGTAATATCCATCATGAAGTGACACAATATGCACAGTTTTTAAATGTTGCCAGAAAGTTAAGCATTCTCTTCAAATAATTTTTTATTATTAAAATAATCTTACCATAGTTGTTGCTGATACGTAAAGACCTTTCCGTAAATGACCATAAATGTACATTATAACTAGTACATGAAGTAGGTAGATCCACATAATTAATTTATCCAACATACAAAATATTCGCAATGAAAAAATTCGATTACAGATACCTATAATAAAAATATGCTCTTAATATGAATTAAGAAATAAATCCATAAACAAAATTCTTAAACAATGACTGAAATTTATGTAAAATTGCTTAAAAGTTCATTTACTTACCACCATATCCTGTAATGCATGCAACAGAGACCCATGCGGTAGCCACAGTAAAAGCAAATGGAGATAACGTGTGATATAAGTACACTATAGTGTCGTTTGGTGACGTTTCTCTTTTATATCCATGCAATCCAAATATTGCCAGGATTATCAATATAATACTACCGATCCAAAACACCAGAAGTGTTTTCTGTAATATTATTTAAAATTGTTTTAAACTATCAAAGTATCCCTTGCCTAACGAGATTTGATTAACACGCGAAATTAACTGCGGCAATCTCTTTATATATGCGGCAGAAGTATTAATTTATTCAGCTTTACCAACTGATCTTACTAAATATAGATACCGTATTTCGATAAACGTAGTTTTGATATAAAAAAGAATAGAATAGATAGGATAGAAAAATTAATTAACCGCGTAAATGAAGAATACCTGTAATCATTATGAAATACATTTGACCCTTCCCCCTGTAACACTGTTAATAATTCCGTTTTATATGAATTCCATGTTGTACGAGTCACTTAGATTTTACAAATACGTTTGCCGGGCTGTGAACGGCTCAAGTATTTGTAAAATCTAAGTGACTCGTACAACATGGAATTCATATAAAACGGAATTATTAACAGTGTTACAGGGGGAAAGGTCAAATGTATTTTATTTTCATGTTTTTAAAAATCTAATAAAGCAAAAACATTTTGCAATATTAAATAGATTTTAGTAGTCGTTCCTTTGATGTTATCGATACAGATTCTTCTGTGAACTCATGCTTCTGTTTGTTTATAGCAAAAAGCTGTTTCATATACAGTGCACAGAAGTTAAGCTTTACAAAGCATATAATCTTATGAAAATATTTTAGTATGGGTAGTAGAAATTATTATACAGAGATACTTCATACTTCGAACGACTGTAATTTCGAACTTTCCAGAGTAAACTACATATGCACTGATGTAAATTTCCTCAAAATTCAAACGCAATATGATGTGTTTCTAAGTTTTTTTTTTTTTTCATTTTTTTACAATACGCTTCGTCAAAAAGAATGCAATTTAACATTAGCAATTATGTGTGAAATTTCACAACTGTTATAATTAAATCGCAATAACAGTTAAAAATACACGAAAACATTCAGTTCAACATGATATAATTATTACGTTTTAACAATGGCACACGAGTATTGTATGAAAGCGACAAAGTTTAAGAGATAGGTTGTAATATCCATTATAGAGATGAACCACACACATTAAGAAGCATGACAGCGTTACACTTTTGGCGGATTTACGTCCAGTTCAACATTCGAAAGTTGGCGGTGTGCGACAAGTAAACACACATTTTATTATACAGTATTTAGGTATCTCTCTTACTGTTTCGGTGTTTAAATTTATTGTCACGACGAATAATTGTGTTATTTAAACTTTACATGATTAAATACATTTGAGATGTGAAAATATTGCACCAAGTAAAAACTCATTACAATTTAGACAACAGTCAAAATGTTTGTTAACAGTTTTTTGATGAAGATAAGCTTGACGCTTTGAAGAGAGTAGTGGAATTAATAATAAAAGTAAAAATATTGCGGTTCCATGCGCCAAGCTTATTTCTAACAAAAATAAAATATGAAAACCTGCTAACAAAAATTTTGACCGTTGTCTAAACTGTTATAAAGTTTTATTTGGCGAAGTTTGTTACGTCTCTGATGCTTTCGTTTGGATAATATTGTTTCTGTATTTACTCGAATATTAAATTTTTAGAATACTTATACAGTTATCGATATTTGTGTTCCCTCATTCAAGATGCTCAAGTCTTTATAATATGTGTTTACATTGATAAATGTTGAAAAAACTTTGAACATTACAATTTTCATTTTTTTTCGTTTATTACTAAAGTAATCTCACAGGTGTGGTAAGAGTCATTATTATTCAACTTTAAATACTAAATAACTACTAACAAAAAATTGGTATCATTTTCATGAACATTGTATAATCGAAATTGAAATACGTTATTCACTGATCTTTATACAGAAATTTAGCATTCAAATACAGTACAAGCAAGTTTGTTGTAGTAAATGTTAATTATATGAAAAAGACATCTTTGTAAACGATATTTTTATCAAAACTTCTTGCTATGGTACTTTAGTTGCTGCAAGTAATTGAAAAGCAGCTACATTTGTAGAAACTTTAAATATACTCGTACGTTTTAGCAAAAGTATGCATGTTGTCACCACACTACAAATGCTGAATCTCATTTCATATGCATTATCTCAATCTAGACTGTTTGTTTGGGCTGACCAGAAAAACGGAAATGGCTGACAAATTCTGGAAATGGCAATACTTAATATGCAGGAAGGAGTTGAATTAAAGGTAGGCAATTACAAGTAACAACTGAGTCAAAACACTATACTATATTAGAAAGAATATACAACGCAGCTGATAACTCGTATAGAAAGTTTAATATCATCAATATATTATAAATTACAAGTTATGTCTTTTATACTGCAGGTTATACTATTTCGTACACTTTTTTTAACCAAAAGTGTTTTATGCAGCCTCAAACCGGTAAAAGTTTTGTTGCTGAACTTAGTTTAATAACCATTAAAAATATCAGATTTCTGAAATTACCTATTCATTTTCTGAAATCAGCGTTAAAAGTGTCTTAGAGGCCAGATTTGGTACTAGTTTTCACTTGTCTTGAAATGTTATCCTAAAAATTTATGCTTGTAACTCTGTCTGTATCGAGCATTGAATATCGTTGTTTTATTAATTACAAATACTTGCCTATTTCATGAAGTGAAATTTGAAAAACTATACATTTCTTAAAAAATACTGATACTTACATATCCAAATTTAATCTCTTTTTTCTTCGATAGAAAACATCCAATTAAAAATCCGGTATAAAATGAGTTGAGATGTGAATAATAAGGTTTAAGATAATTGTGATTCATGTAATTCACAATTTTTCTAGAAATATTAAAAAAAGCAATATAAAAAATATATTAATATAGTAGCATTACAAACAGAATTAATATAAATTTGGAAATTACTTACATTAAAAACCATAAACTATAGCAAGAAATTTATGAATTCAAGCAACACATCAAAATACTGATAATCTATATTTTGCATATTATGAAGACGGGGTCAAAAACTCAAGAGTTTTTCGGAGATCGATCGTTTGAATATGTGTGTGAATATGGAATACGTATAGCTAGGGCAACACGTATTCCAGCGAACCGCCTTACTGTGGACCTTCTAAACCAGTGATGGATCTGGTAAAATGACATCTTCAAGCCCACAGGGGAAAATAGTTATTAAATAAATAATTTTCCTCATTATAAAAACGAATTTTTATATTATTATGAATGGAAACATTTGTCCATTTTCCAGAGTATGTGTTCACGCATATTATTTCATTACATCATGCTGTGAGACGGTAGAACTCTTCATAGTGTATTAATAGTATTAAAAACAAAAGTAGTAACAACCCCAAAATATTCTATAATGGTAAACTATGTACTCCTATTCAACGCTATTTACGGACATACTGAGAATTCAAATGTAATGTAATTGATATCAAGATTTCACTCCATGCAGAAAATATTTTTGTATAATAATTTGTTCTGAATATCACAACTAGGGCCATTTTGATGCAGCGAATAAAATCTATTTCATTTGTGTAAAACTCTTACACTATATAGAGATTTTGGCGATTCAGGAAATATTTTTCAGGATTAACAGTGTAATATCTGAAGACAATGAGCAGTGTATTGTTAGCCCGACTGCAGTTCGTTATTTCTGATGCTTCTCAAATACAATGAGATCAGCTGTTTTGAAAAGGCTAAATTAGCATTTGTGTTATACACGCAGCACTTGTAAATGTGCACAACAATGGATTAAGGTTTGGCTTGTCTTTCTTTGTTGATAACGCTATTGCTTTGCCATAGCGAAAAATATTGGTGTGATATTTTTATGTAAATTTATTTTGTTTCACTACCATATAGAAATCGGTCGCATTTAGAATGTTAAATATTTTGTTGCACAGCGTTGTGTGACCAGAGACCGAAACAGACCAAAATCTAACTTAAGAGATACGTTGTTTCAATTAAAATGCGTCCGATAAATAAAATATTGAAAATAGTAAAAGAACAAATTGGGAATTCGACCAATTTTACAAACGATTGTGAAAACGAGAAAATAAGATGTATAATGAAACCAATTGTCACGCCGGTGCAGTCAGATATTTACGGCCAGGGTAAAAACGCTTCACTTTGAATTTCGGCGGATTAACGACAAAATTCAATAAACAATTATGCCAGGTTAACGATCAAGTAATTCTTTCTTCACTGGCCCTGGCAACAATTTACGGACCAATCGGAGGAGTAGAGGATGGAGATCACCACCAACTAGAGCGTCCGATCAGAAATACAAAACCTTTAAGAGGCTCGAATTCAAAGACAGAGGAATCATTTTTTCTGTTTAGTTTTCACCACACTAAAAACAGAGATTTTTTTCACCAAGTTAACTGCAAGGGATTCCCGAACACAGAACGATTATACAGCTGGGACAAAAACACTGATCCTGGATACGAGAACCGACAACTGTGTGCTTCGCATCCTCCACCAGTGGCCACTCCGTTCGAAACTTTGATTCGCCGACAAGGAGCGACGAACTTTCCGACATTTTTTTATCTTGTGGTTATAATTCTTCATATCTTAAATATTGGTAAATATTTAAAGTACTTTTTGGAAGGCTATTGCGATTTTTTCCGAATTAAGTAAGATTGTCTTAACGAAAAATGGCACACCAGTGGCCAAGCGGTTCTGTTCCCTGAATACTGGAAGTTCAGTCGTGGGTTCGCACGTCGCCAGGACGGGCTGGCCACGTGGAGTTTTCTGAGTTTTCGCCACGTCAGTTACACCTAACTAGGGACCATTTACTCAAAAAACCTCCCAGAAGGTGTTCCCCCTAGGATGATCGCCTGCGTGTTGCGTTGCCATAACTTAATAAAACAAACTTAATAAAAAATGTGTATATTGTTTTCCACTATGTAATATTGAAATTTTAATATTTTCTGTTTTTGCCTAAAAAATATATATCTGATTTTTACTTTATAGTGTTATGTCTTGTAAATAAATAAATATAAAATCTAAGTACTTACGTATATAGAAAAGAATAACCAAACATTGTGTGATCTTGGTATACAATTGTATTAATGATGTGCGATACAATTCCTGCCATGATTAACATCACTGTGATAGTTTTTCCACATTTTGGCCATCTAAAATTAAAAATAGTCTATATATATATCTTTCCAGTTTTTATAGCAATGATATTACACAGAATTAAACATGAAACTTTCTGATATATTTGTAATTAATTGTTATTATTATTACACTTGTAATTCGAGTTACAGTGGAGCCTCGATTATCCGACCCCCGATTAACCGTCACCTCGGTTAACCGACCGTCCTAGTCGGCGAATTTAAAATGTCCGCTAGTGATGTTGTGCTACAATATTTGGCTATGTCTTGGCTACTTTAATATTATTTTTACGTGTTTTAGCTGGCAACACTCATTCGACCATGAAAGGGAGCTAGTATTTAAACGAGGCTTAATTTTCTAGTTTTTAACAATACAATAGCGACGATTATTATTTTAAAAAATTTTTGTTACGCTTAACATCGATGAAAATTCAACGCGAAGCAGGTTAATAGCGATATACTAATATACTAATATACTAATTACATAGGATATAATAATATACTACACTAATAGTGGATTTTTTCATACTTTTCGGTTATCCAACTTTTCAATTATCCGACCAACCCCAGTCCCCAATTGAGTCGGATAATCGAGGCTCTACTGTATATTATAGATATTACTCATACACTCATTTTCATATTAAACACAACTAATTGGTATTAAGTTCGTGGCTAGACGACAAGCTGATCTGGTAAAGATCATCGTGTTTTCGTAAACTATGTACACCTAAGTAAGTGCTAGTTTTTCATATAAATTTCTCACGAAAAACTTTTTTCTTAAATCGTTCACGTGTTGCGTTGACTTATTTCATAAAGTTGCCTTTTGTAATTAAGAATATGTGTTTTATAACAATATAAAATATTGCATAGTTTGAAATTTTCTCTAAATTTAATAATAAGAATAGGGAGAAAAGATATCTTTATTCAACACTTTTCTTTTATTACAGGGATTAGTTTAATATTCATAGGTGATTTATTTTTTATTTATCCATATATATAAAAATGAATCACAATAAGAATTATTTGTCAATTAACGCTTCTAAATCATTACCGAATTTTTAAATTTGAATTTTCTGTGTTTAAATGAAAAAATATGCTTGTAGTTAAAAAAGATATAAAATATACGCTAATGTCAACAGTATGGACTCGAAATTCTAAATTATTATGTTTTATAATCTATCTTGAAGTCTTTATTCTTAGCACCCTCGTTTAAAGATTTTGCATGGAAAATTCGCCTAACTTATCTGTTACTAACTTATCAACTGCTTTTCTTTTTAAATTTGCTTTCTTTATATTTTGATCATTGCATGAATAATGACTATGTGTGAATAAACAGCAGACAGTTCTTCCTGAACACAAGCTTCAAAAGCTGTTGTTTATTTTACCAAAAGCAGCAGAATCAATATCTTTCACAAAAGAACAATTTTATTTATTTTTTTTTCAAAATTTTTGCAATAGAATGTATTTGCCTACATCTGTGATATTCGTATTATAATGTTCATGTCAGGTGGCAAAAAAAACTGTGTTACTTTATGTCATATTGAATTTTTAATGATTTCAGTATGTAAAAAAGTGACGTTTATGATCTCAAACATCATGAGTTTATATCCTTAGCTTTTGTAACCGAGAAACTCTTTACGACTTTGTTCAATAAAAGATTAATAAGAATCGATTATTAAATATAATATTTTTTTAGCAGGAGCAAGCAGGTATTCAACCTGTTTGATCTTTTCAAAAACAAATGTTTGTGTTATCGTTTTTATAAGCAGTGATTTTGTTAAAATTACAAAAAAAAAATGTTGTTTTCGTGAAATTTAGATCAGCCATTGATAGCGTTATTCACAACAGTTAAACTTTTATGGACTTAATTAGAAATAATGGGCATGGATAAACAGTTTCTGTTCCTTATGATTTCTATGATTGGCATATATTTCAAAATCGCTGCGAAAGTAAAAATACTAGCTAAAACGACTGATTGTTATGGCATTAACATTGGAGTTTTGCAAAGTGAGATTCTGAGCTCACTATTTTTTAATTTATATCTTAATGACTAACTGGTATCCATCTTACTAACTCTGGTATTTTTCTCTCTGGTTAAGTTGAGAATAATGTATTAATGAATGACGATACTGTATACAATTATACTCCGGGTTACAAATCTAATTTCTTCCTAAAAGTTGTTTAAAAACCAAAAGAAATTTTTCCAAAAGAGACAATATAAAATGGATTTGTTTATGATTCTTAAAACAGAACATTTTTACATTTTTTGCTGTATTTCATGCACAAAAATGCCTATAGAGGCAATATAAAAGTATATATATTATTGTATTGCCTTTACAAGCATATATATTTATATATATATAGATAATATAATATATTATATGGCNAAGGTAATTAGATTAATATTTAAACATATTCAATATATATAATAAATATTATTAGTATATTATATAATATTTATATATTTATACATATTTTGAAACCAAAGTCTGAACACATAATAAACACTTTATGAGACTTTTAGTTTTCGAAGTAAAGAAAGTGTCAACATTAACAATAAAAACAAGAAAATATACCTGTTGTTTACGTATAGTAGAGGTATAGCCACAAGAATTAGCTGAATCAAGGCGTTTATAAACCATATATGTTGGTGTCTCTGTAAATGTAAATATCATTTAATTAATAAATTATATATTTAAAAGTAGTATATAATGTATCATATTTTTATTTTTACAATGGAATTTCCAGCATTGTATTCTATGAAATTACTGTAATGAAAAACATATTTGGGCCAATTCTCTACAATTTCATGTACTTCGCTTAACAGGTCATTCCAATGAGGACCATCTCCTAGAAGAGGTAAAATAATCGTTGCTGCTAACAGACAAAGTACTGGCACTGTTAATCTGCAATAGAAAAATATATGCTGAGTAAATTGATCTAAAAATCTTCATTAAATAAAACTACGTTAATAAGATTCATGTTTTAAAGTAGTCGTTTCTGGAATCATAACTAAGCTTATTTAAATTTATAAGATTAAAACTATCATTCGCGTACACAGGTGTTCGGATCCGGGATGGAGAGGAAGTGAGAGACAGCGTAACGGAAGTGAATCACTCGGATACCAGATTAACAATTAATAACGATTTAATTTCACCGGAAAAGAGTACACGATACACTATAATAAACATACATATATATATATAGATAGATTTAGCGTATCAATCTAGCGGTCGCGAGAGAGAGTTTACATGAGATACGCGCGGGAATGAATATCTTGTCGAGAATCTTGACACGATGCAAGCCAAATGGGTCGAAGGGGAGAAAGTTCTCAAGTGCAGTTCTTACTCCAGGTGCACAATAGATTTTCGGCGGAATAGATATTCTACGAAACGAAATCCGTAAGAAGGAATTGGATGATGTAATGGAATGATCAATCCGTATAATCCACCGGTATCCGTCGATTGAATCTCGGCGATACTGGATAACTCACTCGAAAAACTGGCGACAACTTTTAACGACAGTTCAGAACCCATACACCTTACAAATCGAGTTGATGATGACTGCCTCACTTGTCATCACCTCCTCCTTTTTATTAGGGGACTTCTCGTGGGCTTTTTCCATTGACTTCGATAGAATTTTTAGTACTTCGGGCCAATAGTAAAATTTTACTTGTTGAAGGTGGGAAACAGTTTTAATTGTCTTTGACTAAATTTTGTTTCTCTCTTTTTAAAATTTTCCTAGAAGAACAAACGTAAAACAAAGGAGCCCATCACCACATTCGGCTCTCACACCAGTAATGATCGATAAAGTTTGAAAATATGAATATTTAATATAAAAGTTTTACACGTCTTTTCGCTCTGAAAGATGCCTTTAAAAATTATATAAAACCGCTCCTGCATATATAGCCTATATATGAATATGTGTAACGCATAATAAAAATAATTTTGAGGTGGTCGATTGATGAATGATGAAAATAGATTGTTAAAAATGTCAACATTCAAAAAACATTCAAATCCCCTAAAATAAACAACACGCGTTTTGAAGGCAATTCGAATGATGCTTCGAAAATGTTTCCTTTTTAACGTTGCTTATATTTACAAATTAAATGTCTAGGAACGACAAAGCTAATTATTGACATCAGAATGACGTATATAGTGATATAGTGTTTCTACTGCTAACAGAATTTTGTGATAGAACAATTAATAAAGAAAATACATTAATTCTTCGATTATAATAGATGTATACACAACGACGCAAACTTTAATGCGTTATTCTTATATATGACAAGTACAATAAGTACAGTAGAAACTTATTTATACAATTTTGTAAAATTATGCATAAGATTGATTCATTTACAGATTAAAATCTTATTGTCAATACTTATAGTAAAAATTTCATAAGTGTTGTCACCAATATCATCATTATCCTCCCATACTGACTGCTTCATTTCGACTATTTATGATGCAATACATTTTGAAAGCACTGTAAAACGAATATGGAAAAACATAACAATAAGGCGAAAGAATTTGTCGGATTAAAGAGACAACCATTCACAAACGAATATACAGCTTTAACCAGAAAATTCACAAATAACAATAAGGCAAATGTAAAATTTCCTTAGTAAGTTGTTAAGTTCTTCATTGCTCTGAGAATAAATTTTAACAGTAGTGGTGTTCAAAACTTTTTTTTTTCCACCAGTAATCAGCACATCACTTCTGATCAGCAAACTGTACACAGTGTATGTTAGTGGTCTATAATGGCTTTATTAACTGCAACATCCATTGTGTAAGGTTATTGAATACAGTTAATAAGTGCATTATGCCACTGGAAAACAAAAGCAACATGTAATAATGATATCATTTCTCCAGGATTATGACCAAGTTTGTGTTTAATATTCTAAACTTCGGCTTTTTTGAATCGAAAAAATTGCCTTAGAAAACATAGACCGACAGGCAACCTGCTTCAGTGATGCCCAAACTGCTGTCTAAAAATGTCATAAAGTCATTTTTTATCAATGATTTATTCTTTTCTCATTTAAGTTATTATCTTTTAAAAATTTTCTATAGGTAATTTTCTATAGGTGCTTTGCATCTTATTATTAATATCAACAAAAGATGAAACGTATATCGTGATCGTAAGAAGCGATATTTATGCACCGATGTTACGTAGTATCTGATTTAACTTCCTCATATCCATTATAGTGCTAGATAATAGACAGAAGTTTCATCAGCATTTCTCATCTATGGTAGCTTTTAATTGTTTGTTTTTCTCAGACAAATGATGAAATGTTGGAACTGTGATAATTTGTCAATATATTCTTTGAGTAATCTTCGCATAAGTAACATTTGTGAAACCTCAGAAATGTCCCAAAACTGTACCACCTCATTAGCGAATTTTTAAAAAATATTTTTCGTTTTATTAAATAGAGAAATAACAATAAAAATAAAAGCATTTTCTTTGAAATATAAGAAAGGCATACTAGACAATTTATGTGACAAGATAAACTATGTCTGGTTGAAATGGAATTAAATGTCAATTTCACACATTCGCCATTTAGCTTGAAATGTTATTAAACTTAGTATCTAGTGAAAGACAATTTACAGAGTGGAAATGAGGACCAATCAAAATGCGAGATCAGGAACAGACAAAGTTAATAACCTTAAATTTGAAAAACAGGAGTTCTTTCTTCGATTAATCGCAAAGCCAGACCTTACTCAGTCGCACCTTTAATTTAATCTTTGACTCTTTCTCTAAATTGCCACCATTTTTTCTATGGACTATTTATCAAAGATATCATTCCGCGGCTAGCAGAACAATAGAAGGATGCTTTTTTAAGGATTCTCTCTTGTAAAAGAAAAAAATAGAAGATTTGACAAACTGAATCTTTCTCATATAGAAACAACCAAGAAAGTTATTCATGTAAACCTTTGTAATTTAAATAAGTCAAGACAATTTTTTGTAACTGTTGAATCTGTCTTTTTCTTCAAAATTTATTAATTTTTTTTCAGTCGTACACACCGTAATAAAAATATATCTGTATTTAAAAGAGGTATTTGAATAAAAGAAAATTTATTATTAATTAGATGTAAAGTACATAAAGTATCTCAATAAATAATTTTCTACATAATAACTTTATAAGTAATGAATCAATTGATACAAGAGATCACAGCAAATATATCATGTGACAAATGTCGGTCATTGCAAGTAATCTTCATATATAGGCCTATATTATATTACAAGTGTATGCACGTAAAATATCTGTAAATTTTAAATATTTGTGTTAATGTTATATGTTTTCTTATTCCTGTTATAAAATATTTTAATCAACTAAAATGCAGTTTACGTTTGAGATATAAATTTTAATAGGCGTTTTATATAATTCGTAATTGTAAAGCATAGATTTTTGAAATAATGTTATAAATAAAAAAAATCACGTTTTTTACGACATGAGAATAATGAAATGCTGTAAACTAAGTGTCATTCGAACATTATAACTATAAATCGAACTACTACTTACTTTTCGGACGTTGTATATAACGAAGGAAAGTAACGAATAAAGCAATATGGCGATCAGTCAAAAAATTACTTTCCGAGGTTTTTACTTTTATGTTCTGCTAGACTTATTACACTATCATTCAGAAACAGAACAAGCTTTAGAAGATAACATTTTATATCTTCTATATCTTTCTGAATGATAGTGTAAGTAAGTCTAGTGGAAAAGAAAAACCGACATAAAGTTCATAAATTGAAGACGAGAAGCGTATTATAAAACAAAAAACTCAAATATTCATTAGACAAGAAATTTCTCAATGAGATTCTTTGAGTCTTCTCTGGTTCTGCCTAGCCTTGAAGCCATTATCCAGCATGTTAAACAACACACAATATGTCTACAATATCAGACATGAAAAAACAAAACAGTTCATACTATCACATCTTATGCACATGGACAACATAAAAGTTTATGCATCCACACAAAATCAACTTTTTCAACTCCTATAAATCACACATTTATATACCAAGGACATACAAATGGAGGTGGGCCTAGACAAATGCAAAACATGTCACATAGAAAAAGGAATCCTGAAGAAAGAATTTTGAAAATCTTGCACTTGAAAATGGGGATGTTCTTGAATCCATGGATAAGGTTAGGTTAGTTAAATGCAAAACACACAGTTAAACACGTGTGTTGTCCCAGTACTCAATTGTTCTTTTGTAGTCATACATTAGAATCATACAGATCTTGAGCAGTTCCAAAAGAAAACAAGGACAACTCTTACTAAACATCATCATCCTAAATCCGCTACAGAAAGATTAACCCGTTTAGGCAAAGATGACAGATGTGGCCTAATTGACATAGTAAACCTTCACTACAAACAAATACAAACACTGCAAGAGTTTTTCTACAAAAAAACAAGAAATTTGCCAATTACATAAAGCAGTAACTTTAGCAGACTCAAATAACACACCACTAAATTTACACTCACAACATATGAACACGACACGAAATATGAAAACAATAGACACCATTAATTAAGCAATAGTGAGTTCAAAAGGTACTTCATGGCCGTAAAAATTTTTGTTGATGTTATTTTTTGCCCGAGCAAGGCCGGGCTCACCTGATAGTTAAAATATAAACATTTCCAAAGAAAATATGAAAACAGCTGGTGCCACAAATATTTCAAATGTTGGTTAACTCGTTTCTTCTTTATTTAGAAAAAAAATTGATATACGCAATCCTCATGTAGTTCTCATTTATTCAATTTTTTTTTTATATTCTCAAAAGAATGTGTCAAAATTCAGAAGTAGAGAGTAATTTTTTATAATCACTTAAATATTTATTCAATTAATTAACAATTTAAAGTAGCATTGCAACGTCAAAAATGACAGATTTCGTCACTTTTCATGGGAAAGGAAAATAAAACTTCTTTTGGGACAGATGTTATCACACATCTCCAACAAACATCTGTCCATTTGTGTCAGAAATATGTCTCGGGAAATGTTACGAATACTAAAATGCGATTGAAGATAACTTTAGGATAAAAGGCAGAGAAATCGTATTCTCAAAGCAGTCATTGATAGTAAGCACAGGCCATAATAACCAGTTGCCGACAATCATAGAGGACTGCCATAAAGACGTCCATACAGAAAGTGAACCTTGGCATAGAAACTAACGAACTCTCTCCAGAATAGTAATCTAAATCTCTCTCGAAAAGTAACTCCATGCATCCAGAAGATATCGAGTAACCAAAGGCAGATGTATTATTTTTTGAACCAATTATAAACACTCTCTCCGTGTTTAGAGGTGTATGTAGTTAGGTCATCGATATAACTATAGATTGTTCTTTTATAAATTTCTTTATTTTACTTATTAAACTTTTGTTACTTATTTGTTAACCTGTCTATTACCTTTGTTAAATACAGACATCCGACTGCCTTCGATCAGAAGTTATCCACGACTTTTCTCCCCATTCGCATTTAAGAATTTCCTACATTTTAAGCCATTCAGTGACCCAGTGACCAGAACTAAAGGTTC